GGCTAATGATTCTCTATGTGCAGGTGGTAGGGACTCATTGAATATGTTTGAGCAAGGGATTGATATGATTAAACAGGTATTTAGGAAGATTAATCTAGACACAGAAGGCAGAATGGATTGGTGTACAGAGAGGAAGTAAAGACACCCATTAGGAAGATTGTTTCTAGTAATCTAGATATGAAGTAGTTAATGCTTAAACTTGAGAGTGGCAATAAAAATGGAAACTTGGATGCTTTATTAAAACACAGAGGTCTTCGGTCTGTCTTTTGAAGCAGTCTGCCTGTTGATGTTAATACTACTTAAATGCATCTAGTTGACTAAAGAAAATAAAAACTAAATAACTTAAACTCTTGGTCAATATTAGTATTTTAAGAGCTATAAAACACACTTCTTCTGCTTTGTTATACTTGATAACATTCAGCTATTAACAGGGACAACAACAAAACATCACTGAAGCTTTATTATTAACAAATATTTTAAATGTTTAAAAAGCTATTTTATAAAGTATAGCAAATGATAAATACAAAGTGGAGTGCCAAAAGTAAAATATTTTATTTCTTTAGATTTTATACTTCAGTTTTGTATTTTCTTTGTCAATTTTAGAATATGCTTAACTTAGTGATAATATCTAAACTCCTTCTAAATACAAATCTTAATTCTTATTTTGTGGGCTTTTTGCTAGCATTTTATTTAAAAGTTTGAGCTTTCCACTGGATAGTTTCCTAAATCATTATTTGAATGATTTATATTTTATTTAAATGAATACAAGTTATTTATTCCCTGTTGTCTAAAGTGAGATGTCCAACTTAAAATAGACTGAAAAAACATTTAGTGACATGGTCTCTCTCTTTTACCAAAGAGTGCAGTGATGCCATCCTAGCTCAGTGCAACCTCAAACTTTTGGGATCAAGCAATCCTTCTGCCTCAGCCTCCCGAATAGCTGGAACTACAGGTGCATGCCACCATGACGAGTTAGTTTAAAAAAATTTTTTTGTAAAGATGAGGTCTTGCTGTGTCGCCCAGGCTGGTCTTGAACTCTTGGGTTCGAGTGATCCTCCCCTCAGCTTCCCAAAGTGCTGGGATTATAGGCATGAGTCACTGTGCCCGACATGAAATAGATTTTCTTAGACAAACTGATTTGATATCACTTGTAAGAGTTTGTCACTTTTTTTTCCTTTAAGATCTCATCCATACACCAAACACCAGGATACTTTTTTCTGTCATAAATTGATATAAATAGTCTCTATTAGTTATATCATATGCTAGGCTGCTATTAACAAAGAGAAATGTAAATCCTCAGTAGTTGGAACAAGGTAGAATTTTATTCATCTCTCATGTAACAATTCAGAGGTAGGCAGATGGTCAAGAGTGGGTTGGTGCTTTTGTTCCACAAGGACATTCAAGAATCCAGGTTTTCTTTTGTTTCTCAACCATCCGTTGTGACTGCATTGTTCAGTAGCCACGTGCGTCTATTGACATTTACATTTAAGTTAACTTAAATAAAATAAAAAAACCCACTAGCCACATTTTAAGTCCGTTATAGACACGTGGCTGGTGGCTACCATTTTAAACAGTGCAGATATCTCATACCTCCATCATCACAGAGTGTTTTGTTGGTTAGTGCTTTATAGAGTGTTGTTCCTGTCCTCATGATCTTTGCTAGCTCGTATTGGCCTGTCCAAGTTCTAGTCTAAGGGAAAGGGGAATAAGAGGAGGGAAGAGAGGATAGCATAGTTCTGTTATAAATGATCCCCCAAAAGCACACATCACTTGTGCTTGTAGTCCACTGGCCAAAATGTAGTTATATGCCAACACCTCCCTGCAAGGGCAGCTAGGACAAGTCACTAGCTGGGTGAAGTGGATCCCGCTAAAACTTGGTTCTGTTGGGAGTTGGTTGGGGGTAGGGATCCTGTTACCAAACTGGAGAAGTTGAGTTAAATACTAGAGGGCAATTGACAATCAAGGTCACATATACTCAATCTATTAATAATCACAGCAAGGTTTCTTTCCATCCCCCAAAGTGACCAAGAAGTATGCTGAGTAAAATGTACTTTGATTTTAAATGGCCATGCTGATATTAACCTGGAATTATAAATGTTTTTTACTGCTTTATTTAAATTACATCTTAAAGTGTAGCAAAATCTACCTCATGGCCAATTTGGCTTACAGGCCATATTTTTGAGTGTGACACTTTTTCTGTAATGTATTACCTATCTGACTTACATTGTGGGATGATGATAATTTTATGTTATGTGATTACAAAGAACTAAAGAGCTTTTATTTCTGTGTTATTTTATAGATGTTAAAAAATGATTTTAAACATTGTGAAGGTGAGCAACAATGTGAAGTACAGAAAGTAGTAGGTGGTAGTTTAGTTTTTTCTTCCACCCATCTTAAACATGCATGCCTTCTCTCTCCCTCTGTATGTGTTCATCATGGTTATGAACTATTTAAGGCTTGTAATGAAAAACAGTCTCCCATATCATTTTCTATCCCCAGTCTTATTCTTTGAGACAAATACTTTGAAATATTCATATTTACGACTTCCATGTTTCAAAATAATCTGCCTACATGCAATATTTCTTTATTTTTCAGGAATTATGAACTGATTACTATAATGAAAAAGAATTTAGCTAATGTATTATTTCTTTTTTCCTTCTTTTTTTAAAAATTTTTCCATAGCTTTACTGTTTCTTAAACCTCTTTCACATCCATTCAATTAAAGATGGTGTCTCTTGACTTTCAAATTAGCAATTACAGATTTTATTGTTTCTAATTTTCCATTCTGGTATCTTTCCCATTTCTATTTCCCAATTTTTGTCAGTTCTTCATTTTAAATTGCAGTAGTCAAATATATTTACATTAGTCTCTATAACTATAATTAAGTCTTTTAGCTTTGTGTATTCCTGGATTCTAAAAATCGTAACTAGTAACAGTTTAATTTTTTACTACTACATAAATATTTTTAACTGAAAAGTTAGTGGCAGAGTAATTACAATTTTTTAACGCAGTTTTGTTGATAATTTGGTTTAAAATTTCTTCTTCCCCCTTTTATCATGCACTTAAAAATTCCTGTAATTTCAGCCAGTATGTCAGTCATACTGTCTATCCTGAACACTGCATTTTTGCAAGCTGTTTCTGCCTGGAGTCCTTGTTCTCTCCCTTCTTTTCTGTTTTGTCAGCCAGTGCTCTTTTAACTACTCTACATTTTCCTAAAAGTTGTTGAAAATTTGCTTTAATTAATACTATTCCTTTTTTTTTTGTAACTGTAGTTTATACCTTTTAAATATTAATTTTTTAAAATGATTAATTTTTTAGGAAGTAGAGACTATAAATGCATGTGCTTAACATCTTGAATCTGAAGTGTAGAAGTTTTAAGAGTCTGGTATTGATATATCTGAACTTTAGAGACATATGGTAAAACATGTGATAAAGACTCATGCTAATTTTTTTTGTAGGTGAAGTGTTTACAGATACAGCTGAAAGAAAATATACTCATTGTTATTTTTATGTGTATAAAACACTTTCTAGAATAGTTTTACTTTTGTTTTCTAAGACCCTAGACTTTTTACAGATTAGGATAAAATTTCCATTCTGTTATTGAAGATAGATGTCTTCAGATTTAGATATATTTTTGTTACAGTGTTTCAAAACTTCATTGTGCATTTCTTGAAATTAGCCCATTTTATCATCATATAGTACCTGGTCAGTATCTAAATGGCATATAGTGATATTAAAAAATATATTTCCTAAGTTAGGAGGTTTATATTCTGAACGCCGATGGGTCTTAGTATCAGTCTGGGTAATAAGTTTTGCAATGCTCCTAGACTGCTTTTTATCTTTTTTTTTTTTTTTTTTTTTGAGATGGAGTTTCACTCTTGTTGCCCAGGCTGGAGTGCAGTGGCGCAATCTGGACTCACCACAACCTCCACCTCCCGGGTTCAAGCGATTCTCCTTCCTCAGCCTCCCTAGTAGCTAGGATTATAGGTCTCTGCCACCACGGCTGGCTAGTTTTGTATTTTTAGTAGAGACGGGGTTTCTTTTTGTTGGTCAGGCTGGTCTCGATCTCCCGATCTCAGGTATCTGCCCACCTCGGCCTCCCAAAGTGCTGGGATTATAGGCATGAACCACTGCGCCCGGTTGGCTACTTTTTATCTTTACAAGAAAATAGTATTGTAAAAATGTCAAAAATATCCATATGCCCAGTTCACTAGTAAATATACTGCTAAATTTGAACCGTTTTGGCAGTAGTTTATGCTACTCAAGGGACGATATTTTTACGGAATGATATATTTCAAAGGGTATTGGTTTCCATTGTAGAAAATTCATGCATTTAGAGTAACTTAAAGCCAAAAGAGTTGTGCTTGTGCTATATGTTTAGAATATTAGTCATCTTGAATACATGCATAGGTTAAGTGTCAGAAGCTATATATCATGCAAAAAGAAAATTTATTGTTAGGAGACCAGGCTGTACCTGTGCTTATACAGGATTTTCCTTAGAGGATCAATTTGAGTATATGAACAAATATCAGCTAGATTTTTGTACGGTAACATTATTGATAATATAGGAGAAATTCATTGAGGAGAAAAACAAAGGAAGCATAAAAGTCTCATACTGTATGAAACTACAGAAATGGATCAAAGAGTTTGACAGGAAGTTTAATGTGTACATAAGTAGAGGCTGACAGGAACATGCTGTGTGTGCCAAAGGTTCCAGTGATGGAAAACTGAAACATAGTGCTCACTGACCACAGCATGAGCCTTGACACACATTGTAAATAATCCAGAGATATATGACTGCATTAAGTGCTAGGCTGGTGTATGAACGGCAGTAAATCTATAGCAGCAGAAAGGGTTGGCATGCAGAAATTCTTCTGATTAATTTTTATAATGGATTAATAGGAATATAGCAAATATTTTCATTTCAAATTCTGCCTTCTCCAGTTCCCCTCTTCAGCTCTCCCCGGTGTGATCATTTTTTATTCTCCTCTACTCACCAGACTTGTGTATGTGGATACCTGCTTCAGTACCATCAAGTTAAAAGCAGAAGATGCTTCTGGTAGAGAGCATTTAATAACTCTCAAGTTGAAGGCAAAGGTATGTGCCTCGTTAAACTGTTATTGTGATCAGGAAATACTTTGTGAAATGAACTCTGTGAATGCTCTCAATGTAAAGAAGTGCTAGTTGCATCTAAAAATACATGTATCATGCTTTAAAACATTGATTTTGGAAAGCCTCAAAGAATTTATTCACCACGTTTCCAAAAGCCTAGACAGTTTCATGTCATATTTTAGTCCAAATTTGATCAAAATATAGACTTTATGACAAATATTACAATTTTATAACCTCAGAGTACCATGATGTTAATTTTGTAACATCCTGTGTAGAAGACAGTGGACGCTTCAACTATCCCAAGTTGTACTGAGAAAATCTTTTGCATTCAACTGTTAGTATAAATTTCTTTTGTAGTTCTTATTCTTACCTATGATTCCCACTCCCTCACACAGACAACATATATGCATACTTTTTTATAGTTTGTTTGCTTTGCCTGGGTTTTTTTGACTTAAGTATTTTAAGAATTTGCAGAGGTTATGCCTCTGTTTATAGATCCCTTATAGGATAGTGATATATAATCACATATTTTATTGGCACAAAACATGGTTGTTTCATCTTTATTTTTAGTTCTAAATTGTGAATTTGGACAAATAAGTAAAATAAACAAGTTCAGCATATTGATCATTTACTTAGTAATCACTGGGGAAACATGAGAATTTGAAGAAAACCAGGACGTCCAACTTTTTTTTTTTATTGTTCCTAGGAATCATCACTCAGCTCTTTCAGAAGATTGTAGTGATGAAAAAAGATCAATTGTGTTTGTCCTTTTTAAAAATGTGTCTGGCATTTAAGCTTTCCACAAGAGAAAATTAATATATAAAGCTGTACTGGATGACACAGAAAAGTTGATATCTTATAATGGTTCTATAACAGACAGGTTGAGAAATAACTAATTATCTCTTTCACACACAGAATGTGTAGGTCTAATTTTAAGATCCATATGTGATAAGTCTTGGAGAAAATTAGTGGGATGGAAATCTTGTTGTTTGTAAAATAAGTTAGATAATTATTTTTATTAAATTGAAAAAATTTTTATTTTTTAGTTTGTAAAGATGTGCTTTTTTTTTTTTTTTTAAGAGAAATTTGCCTTTATCCTTCCGAAGGGTCACATGTTGCCAGTGGCAAGGGTTCTGTCATTTCCTTCAAAGCTCTATTTGTTTATATTTTGTACCTTAATAAAATTAGCCATTTTTCTATGAAGACCAAAACTAAAGATTTTAAATACATCCTGTCCTGATTTTTACAAGCTCTTCTACTTCCTAAGAAGATGATGCTGTAAATTTATGCTGCCTTTAACTATACCTACAAGATTATTAATCCAAGTTGATGACATTTAGTTCATTTATTGGTAGTATGCAGAGTGAAGATGTGACAATTTAATGTGGTCCATTTTGTCTGCTTTTTTCTATACTTTTTCAAGGTAGATAAGATGATGCTTTTAGTATTTCTCTGGAGAATATTTTCCAGGGTCAGTTTTGCAACATCTGTAGTTATGAAGCACTTTTATGGATACTCTGGCAAAAGAGAAGAGAAAGCTTTATTTAAGCTGGGAAGGAATTTGGCAAAAAAAAAAAAAAATCTGTTTTGGAAAAACAAAAAAAAGCATGTAACTGAATCTTATGTTGGTATGATTTATTTGAATTTTATTTCTCAATGTAGTTTAGCTTTATATGTATACCACAGTTGTCTTTAAGATGTGATAATTTCTTTTTTTTTTTTTTTTTAGGAAAAAAATGTTAGTTCTAGATTGTGAATTTGGACAAATAAGTAGAATAAACAAGTTCAGCATGTTAATCATTTACCTGGTAATCACTGCGGAAATTTGAAGAAAACCAGGATGTCTTTTTTTCTTTAGGAAAAAGGTATAGGTATATATAAAACCACCACCAACTAATTGTCAAAATTTTTACTTTCAAAAGTAATGTACAACAACAAAAGCTCCACATATAGGAATATTAACTGAAAAATATTTTAGGAAAAAAAAATTTTAGGAAAAAAGAAAAAAAGAAATTGGGCCTGGGATTGTTAGTCAACTACGTTAATAGCTGAAACGTTAACTGTCTATTAAGAGTATATGATGCAAAATCTTAATCCAAACTAAGTTTTAAGTGGAATGCTGATTTTTTTTTTATTAATAACATACCTCAAAGCAGACTTTTTTCTTAAATACACAAACCTTTATTTCTATTACTTGATTTTTTTAATATACAGTAAATAAATGCATTTGTTTTATTTATTCTGGAATATATACTCTCCCAATTCTACCACTTCCCCTCACCATTTCCAAGAAACTCACAAAGAAAACAAATACACATTTTGACTAGATGTCCTTTATTAAAAATATATATGTAAATAAAAAATAAGTAGAAGTAAACCAGATAAATTTTGTGGTTTTTATAGGTATATTTTTATGCACTACTTACAGTGCATTCTGTACTGAATTACCTTTGCTTTACAAAAGAAGTAGCCCAGGGCTTCCTCAGCTTTGGTCAAGATCACTACTACTTGAAAAACAAATTACAAATATGCATCAGAGGGTGGGCACTCCGTCTCTGCTATAATTTGTATATATTCACTTGGGGGTCAGCCTTACTGCTTAGGTAGTCCAATCGTAGAACAGACTTGGTTACAGTTTGTCTTAGAATATATTAATACTATAGAGTCTGAAAAATATTGTGTATGATAAAAATATATACTTAATATGTAATCATTGTATTTTTTTAGTTATTGATTTGATTTTCTGCAAATGAGATTTAGAGAACTATGTTTTACTTGAAAATAATTAAATACTATATTTATTTTTCAGTTAATATTCCTGTATATGGAGCTTTTGTTGTTGTAAATTACTTTTGGAAGTAAAAGTTTTGACAATTAGTTGCCAGTGGTTTTGTATATACCTATACAACTTACTATTGAAAAGTATCTTAATTTTGATCAAGTTACTTTGTTATATTGTAGTCCATCTACATTGTAGTTAATACTATTATAATTCAGAAGCTATTCTGAAAATGAATATCTAGTATGCTAGTTTATATTTTAATATTTATGATAAATCATCCAGACTTAAATAAATGTTCTTTTTAAGTTCTGTACTATTATATGAAGTTTGTTATATAAACAAAATTGATTTTGCGCATGAATGTAATTAACACATGTAACAAGTATTCATTTAACTCAGATATGAAGTAAAGCCACTTGCATGAAGATCAGTCTAATTTATTATATACATATTGTATTACAAATATAAAAATATATTTGAAAGATGTCATTATCTCAGAAACTACATACTGCACTCATTTATATATGTAGAATCATATATTTACTCTAACTTGCTTTTTTGTTTAACTATTTGTGGATCTCTTTCCATGTCAGTACACTGATACCATTTACTATTCTGAATCCTACTTGAAGGTAGTATCTTACTCTTTTAGCATAATGAGCTGTGTATGTACTTAATGGGGCCACAAATACTTTACTTTGTGTATCTACTCCAAATACAGTAAACATTTCATTAATTTCTCTATCTAGATTGATGAATCATTTAAGTTAGAGAGTTGATATTGTTCATTGTCAGCATCACCAAGATAAATAGTAGCAACTCAAAATGAACTGAATTTTCCATTTTTGACCCATAGAGGTTTCAAGTGCACATTATTATTTTTAAAGAATTCTGACATTTTAGAAAAAGAGATTTTGTACACTTTCAGTTAAGTTTTGTCATTTTTACATGTCAAACAGCCAGAGAAATTAAATGACTTGTTCAAGATCGTACAAGTTAATTAACAGAGGTGGAACCAAAGAAAGCTGAGGTCTTTGTCTACATTTACTTTGAGATAATCACGATTTTTAAATATGGTGTACAAATTGTTTCTCCAGTGATTACAGCAATGATACTCTGAAGTATATCATCTGATGTTTTTAATTGTCTGAAATAGAACTTCCTCTTTTAATTTCAGCATGATCTTTTTTTCTTTCTTTTTTTTCCCCCCAGAAGTAGATCACTGGAATATTTTTATATGATTTCTTATATATTTGCCTTTGTGTTTAGTTCTACATAGCCAGATACCATTAGGCAGAGTGTATATTGATAGTCAGTCTTTTTAGCCAACTGATCATTGTAGCTAAATGTTTGAAAGTGTTGATTTCAAGTGTTTGTTAAATACTATAGTGAGTTTTTTGTTCCCTTTTGCTTACCCAGCAGAGTACTGAAAAATAAGAGGCTGAAAAAAGTGAAAGCCTAAAACTTGTTTTAAATATTTTGTCAAATGAAAGTTTTCCTAAAATTAATTTTCTTTCAGTGCATTTTAGCTTTTTAATGGAAAGAAATGGGTATTTTTAATTACATGTGACTTTGAATAATCAGAATTGGATTATAGAGAAATCATTAAGTATGATTCTCTAATAAGGAAACTGATTTTAAGAAATTTTACCTTTTGCCTTTGTTAACTTAAAAACTTGGTTTGTCCTCATGACTGCCACTTTTGTATGACTAGTTGAAGAAATAATTTTGTATTTACCAATCTTTCAAAGGTTTTTCTTGCTAGAAAGTATGTTTTATTTTTTCTTAATAAGCCAGAAGATATTTTATCTTCTTGCTAAAATTAATATCCTTAATGTAGAAAACAGTTTTTTACATTGACAGCTGTATGTATTCATTTTTGTGTATTTCTTAATTCCTTTAACTGATACTGCCTATTTAAATAGTGACTGATGCTATTTGAAATTAAATTTAGGACTAGGAGAAAAGTAAATATCAACTAATTTAACCTCTTATTTTAAAGATAAACAAAGATCCAGTTTAGTTCATTCCTCAAATCATAACTTCAGCGGCTGACCCAACACTGACTTAATTCATTACCTTTTACTCAACACTGATTGCTTTGGCAATTCCAAATCACCAAAGTTGCACCTCCATAGGTTGACTATAAATAAGCTCTTAACATCACTATGAAAGTGGAGCAAAAATAATTATATGTAATACATTTGTAGTTACAGTAATATATTTTCCCCTAATATACCTGGTTTTTCTTTTCCCTTTCCGTTCCCCTTCCCCTTCCTTCTTCTCCTTTCCTTTTCCTTTTCTTGATCTCCTGACCTTATGATCCACCCACCTCAGCCTCCCAAAGTGCTGAGATTACAGGCGTGAACCACCGCGCCCAGCCCCTAATGTATCTAGTTTTTCTAAAATACCTCATGTGATATTAACACGCAGAAGCAAAAATGGTCTAATTTTATGCTTTTTAAATAGTATCCTGCAGAATCACCAGATTGTTTTGTGGATTTTCCTGTTCCATTTTCTGCTTCCTGGACACCTCAGGTAAATTCTCCTCAGGTAAATTCTTAAATTTGTTTTAAGTAATTAAAAAGTACAGTTGTCCCAGAGTATCCATGGGGGATGGATTGTTGGACCCTGTGTAAATACCAAAATCCATGGATACCCAAGATATGAAATGAGACTTTGTTTATAGCCTGTGCACAATCTTCTGTATACTTTTAAGTTATCTCTAGATTATAATACCTAATTCAATGCATATGCCATGTAAGTAGTTATTATACTGTATTTTAAAATAGTTTTATTGTTATTTATTTATTTTTGAATATTTTCTATCTGTAGTTGGTTGAATCTGCAGATGTGGAATCTGTGGGTAGGGCCAACTGTAACTCTTTTTACTCAGGTAGTCTTTATAGGTTATGAAGTAATCTTTTTTTTTTTTTTCCAGTTTTCCTTACGCATTTATTTATAAACACACCTTCTATAATGCTTCTTTTATATTTCCTTACAGTTAATGTCCATTTTCTTTCTCCCTCTCTACACGCACACACACACCCACTCACACCCACACCCACGCATACACACACACACACCCCCACCATCCAGCCTGTAGATATTTATGCTTCATTTTCAGTAAACATGCAGAAGCACTTTTGACAGACATTTTCCTTTAAATTTAAATTCTAAAGAACTCTGTAGAAAGCAGTGAATGGTAACTGAAAAAAAGTTCAGTGAAATTTTTCATATTGCTAAAACTTGTAACATTGATTACATATCAGAGAATCCTTTTCAGAGGAGAATGAATTGTGACTGAAAACATAAACCTTGCCATTTCAACTCCATTTTTATTGTTTTAAAGTATTTGTCCTTAGTTCATCTTTGAACTCGGATTATATTCTCTTATTTTGTGCTTTAGAACATTCAATATTTTGTGTAAAGAATACAGAAGATTCTCCTGCTTCTGTCAGTTGAATTTCACAGTACATTGATGATATTAGCAAGATAATGTTTTATAGAAGTGCATTGTAAACTATAACATATAGATATAAGGAGGTATGATTATCAGTAGTACTATCACCATTTCATGTGTGTGATTTTTAAGGATTGGCACAGTGTGATTAGTTAGGACATAGTTCTTCTTTCACCAAGTAAATTGTGGCAGTTGATAATAAAAATGTTCTCTCCGATAAAAATGGAGAGAACATTTTTATTCTTAGACAAAGAGAAAAAACATTTCTAGTGACATTTTACAAATATTCTGTAAATAGAGGCTACTCATTTTGGCTATAAAATTTTGGTTAGATTTAAGTAGAAAATTATGCTTGTATTTTAAAATATAAATACATGAGTAAAGTAAATATATAAGAAATTAGTAAAAAATAAAAAGCCTAACAGGATTTAAATAGTCTTGTCAAGGCCAAAATGCCATTTTAATTATATATTGTATTTATTCAAAAATTATTTTTCTCATATTCTTTTTTTTGTTTTTTTTTTGAAGTCCCAATCTCCCCACAATGGAAGTGGAGAAAACATAGCAAAATAGAGAAGAGAGAGCCTGTAATTTGCTTTTGGTGTTTTGATGTATACAATAAGTAAGATACTATGTTGATTTTTTTTCTATTAAAGATTTGGAATTATGCATACATTATATAGTGTTCTTTTATTTTAAAAAAATTTTCATTAAACCCATGTCTCTTTTTTTAAAATATACATTTTCTATTGGCTCTGGAATTTTAATCTTGATGTTTTAAGTGAGATCATGAGAAAATATAGCTAGGTTGTGTTACTCTTTCCAGGTGTTATTTCTAAATTATACTTTAATATTTATCACAATTCCAAGGTTGAAAAATACACCGTTTATGAGTTTCTTTGTGTTTTAGATGTACATAATTCGAGAAGTTTCCCCAGGCATTTGTCTGTGGAAAAGTTTGCAATGCCATAAAAAGATTGTTTAGTACTTACTTTATTTTGCTATTTAACAAAATTAGTTGGCAGCTCTCTACTAGAGAGCCTGGAAAATCTTTGAAGGCAGTTTATCTTAAGTTTTATATCCACATGCTCAGTGCCTTATTCATATAAACATGGAATAAATATTAGTAATATTAATTCAAATTTAAATTTCAGGTTTAATTGGGTTATACAAGTTTTCTGTTTTGTAGTAACTCTAAGAAAATGTAGAATTAGTAGTAATGAGTGTTATAAAATCTTTATTTGTGGAATATACTGAAATTCTTAGCGAAGTACAGATAAATTATGCAACCTTTTATCACAACTCAGATTTGACAAATGTTAATGTTTTGTCATATTGGTTCAGATATATCTATATTTCTCTTTCTCTTAAAAATAAAATGTTTTAAGAATAGCTAAGACCTGACCCCCTTTTCTGTCCCTCCTTCCCGTCTTTCTTTTCTTTGCTTCTCTCCCTTTAGTAACTGTTTACCCAAAATTGGGTTTAAAAAAAAAAACAAAAACAAAACAGAAAAATAAAGATCTTCCAAGTTTAAAGTTTAAACATATATTTTGGTACTAATTCTTTGTTAGTTATATGGGATATAAATATCTCTGTGGCATGTCTTTTAACTTGGTGTATATTTTGTCATACAGAGTTTAACTTTCAGTCTGGTCACATCCTTCTCTTGTGGTTTCTGTTGTGTTTCAAATAAGAATCTTTCATATATTTTTCTGAAAAAATATTCTGCTATAGTTCAGAAAGTTATTTTTAATATTTAAGTATTTAGGTATGAGATAGCGCCTATTTTCTATATGCTTATACAATTTGACTGTGTCTTCTTCATTTATGCGGGTTGGGGGCTGATTTCACAGTTTTTTTTACACATGCCATTAATATTTAGAAAGTTTAAAAAATATATCATTTACGTATAAGATTCTGGCTGTACATCATAAGGACTTTGGATGGTACTAGCAGTGTGAACTCTGAGTCTTTTAGACATGGTAAGAGTGTTGATAGTTTATGTTTTGAAAATAAGAAGAAATGTGAGACTTCTTTGTTATGTGTGATCCTTTTTAATTGGCTGACTCAAACAATTCTGCTTGTGGGAATTTTTTTTTTTTTTTTTTAATTTTTAAACAGCTGTCTCTCTTAAGCAATAAAAATGTTACTGTTGTAGTTTAGTAACAGAGTTAGATTTAAGAGATGGTAAATAGATTTCAGATAATTGATTTTTTAAAAATCCCTTTCTGCTTTTGTGTATTTCCTCTTTGGTTTCAGTGTTTCTGAACTTTAAATTTGGAAGATCTTTATTTTTCTGTGGTTTTTTTTTTTTTTTTTGTAATATAATAGACATGGCTTTGTGGCATCCATATTAAAAATGGGTAATTTTCCTTATGGTCCCTGTCTTCCTGCTGGGTTGATAATGTTTTGATGTATTTTTCTTTTGCTCTGATGAGAGGTCTGCTGCTGCTGCTCTGACATATTCATTTGGATGAATAATTATAACTTGCACAATGTCAAGCTGAAGATGGTAGGGTTTTGTGCGTCATGACAAGCCTAGTAGCCAGTGCAGGTGTCTCACAGCATGATCAGCAACAGCCAGTGTATTCTGGCTCAGAGGAGACATTTAGAGTAGTAAGAAATCAGCACCAAGGGCAAGGCTGCTGCTACTATTGCTGCCATGATATGTGCCAAAGGAACACAAAGTGCTTCTCAAAGACAAGTGTCTAAGCACCTCTTTGTAGATATTTACTTTATTTGTTTGCTCAGTTAATCTTTTATAGATTTTAGCATAGATGGTAAGAACATCTCATGATTTTATTCTACTTTCTAACATCACAGATGTTCCAAAATATATCTTTAATAATTGTTTTAGACTTTTACATACAGGTCACATGTGTAAATACTCTTGACTGAGACTATAGAATTCCCTAGTGTCAGATTTTAAGTGCACTGATATTATGATTATAAAAAAATGAAATTCCTTTTGTCCAGATCACTGATCAAGCAAAAATGGATGTTAAAATTGCAATTTTGCCTGAAAGTGTGCCACTAAATGCAGGCTTGGTGAAGTATTCTTGCCATGGGCAGTTGGAATCCTTAGGTTCGGTGTGGTGTAGTAAATAGTGGTCTTTATATTTTTTATCATGGAAATCTTATATTGGAATAATGCCATGGATGCAAGAAGAGCAAAACTAATGATAAAGCCTCTGGCTGATAATCTGATGGTGAATGAAGAATTTGTAATTAAAGGAAGCAGTCCTATTACATAGCAGGGAGCATGATCCATTAGTTAGAGCAGCATACTAGCAGTTGGGTATTCTAAGTTCTGTTTACAGTTCAGCCATTAATTTAATTGTATTAGTTCAGACAAGTCACATAACTGCCCTTTGCCTCAGTTCATATGTACTGTATATGGAAATGGTGAACCTTTTTTCTTTTATGGATATGTAAAGAAAAATAATCTGGTTTAAAACAAACGCAGTGTTGGGGCAAATCCCCCCAGTTTTTCACCCTAATGATCCTGTGGAAGTTCTTTTGACCAACTGGATTTTTTTTCTTTCCATTTTTTCTCTGCTGTTTTTGTTGGAGGACTTAACAATAGTAGTGGAATTTTTTTCACTCTTAAATTGGTTAATTTCATATGCTTTTTCTTTCTTGGCAGTCTTACTGTTGCCACAGTGGTATGACTAAAAGGACATCAAAAGGATCAAAACAAAGAAAATTTATTATTGAGATTATGTGATATGGTAGAAAAAGTATCAGCATAGGAGTCATTTGACCTATAGACTTATCAGCTGCCTTTCTTTTATTTTTCTTTCTTAATAGCTAATTATTTATTTAAAAAGTAGCCTGTATTGATTCTAAAAAAGAAGAGAAAGAGGGAAAATACAAGCAAGTAAAATTAAAATGTAAAGTTACCATCAATGCTTTTATTTAGGCAGTAGTATTGAGGTGTCATTGTATAATGGTTTTGAAACTATGCTTGTCACTTAACAAAGTTTCATTAAAAAATATCATTGGTAATACTGTGCATTTGTTATTCCAAATAATTCTTAGAATTACTTGGGTTTTAGTTACAATTGGGTTTACATTTATCCAGCAAATT